CCACAGCAGTGCATTGCTCTGCTTACCTGCTGCTTCTCCGTCTTCTGCAGATAATACGCCGACTAAGGCTAAATACAACCCCCCCCCCGCAAAATACCCAAACTATTCCTTTAAGCGTATATTCAGATAACCATAATTCCAGCCAAAGCGAGAGACAACACAACCGAGTACTTAAACTAAAATCCTAACAAGTTTCTGCTTTTGGAACACAAATCCGGTTTGTTTACTGTTTGACAAAGCAGAAATTATTGACATTTTCACAATAACTAAATAAGCTGTGAATTACAGATTTTTATTGACACTAAATAAGGTAACTTTGTGCACAACGCAGATCTTACAGGACTGAGTTTTATTTTGCATTGCATCATTATGATAATTTTGAAATTACATTGATTTTGCAATTGTAGGGCAAATGAGGCTTACATTCTAATGCAGGGTTTAGCAATGTGGTCTTGCCTCTACAAAACTATAGTTAAATGGTTTTTTTTTGGGGGGGGGGGGTTATTTTTATGGATTTATGTGTGTCTGTGCTAAATAAAATGCAATGTCAGTGCTGCATCCTTCTCACCTTGATAAAGTCAGCTGAGTTTCTATCCTCTCATCTAAAGTTGAGCTTTAAAAAAAAAAGTTCTTCTGACATTTTTGGGTTATAGACTTTTGGCCCCCTTGTATGTCTTTGCTGAGATTCTAAAAATGACTTTAGTGAGCCAGCTCCAGAGCCACTCACTGACCACGGGTATCCTCTATTTCACAAAGCAGATACAATACATCTTGATCACCTCAGGATGGAACGACTCCTTCAATAAAAGCTGGACATCCTTAGTTGAAAACTCAACTGCATCGTTTGACACCTAAAGTAATAAAAGCAGAGCAGCAAAGATAAAAACTGCACTGGAGATTAAATATTTCGGGTACCTCTATTCAGAGAAATGGGTTCCATCCAGAATACCCTTGTCATCTGTGTAAAAGCGTATTTAACTGTTCTCATTAATAATAGCTGGATATCTGTGTTGCCGTGTCCTCTTTCTCTTCAGCTCCGCTTGGAAATCTCCTGGGGAGCCACAACGCTGAATTAAAGCTTCACTCTGGGATCACTGAAGTCACCAGCCGTTCACTGTGAAATAGGACTTCTGTAAAGCCTCAGTCCATATTCAGGTGAGCTTATTTTGACAGTGAAGTGACGCTTCATTAGACCCGAAAAGGCGGTCTGTCCAGATCTTCTGAGCCAGATTTAAACCTGCGTCATTCTAGAAATTTAATACACAGAAAAGTTGAAGAAACAGACGTCACAGCACCAGCCACACAGTTTGACAAGTGATGTCTGGGAAGTGCAGCTCAAAAACAGCACAGTAGTGACAGAAAAAGTGGCAATATAAAACTTTTTGGACATTCAAATAACAAAAACGGAACTACCATTATTGGTCACTGCCAGTCTCTGACCCTGTCTCTACCAGTCTAAATACCCACATTTCCCTGTATTTGGCCTGGGTGGTCTGGATGTTTTGAGGCATATATCATTGGATGTGGCCAACAGTGAGCGGCATTCCCGCTACTGAAGAAAGAACAGTGACCATTATCCAGCTCAGTCACGCCAACAACAACAAAGATCAAAAGCAGTAAGTAAGCAAGTAATGAAAGAAAAACCAAACATTGCAGCACATAAGGCAAATGAGGTGGCACTGCCTTTTCCTTGAGTTTTCAGGGAAGCAGGGCGGAAGTTGCACTGACTTAGGAATTGTTTTAGTTTCTAGATAAAATCTGACATATGAAAATTAATAATTTGCATGGCTGGAGCCAAGAAAGCAAACACTTCCCAGTAAGATGAAGAGATATTTCACCCAAATTTCTGCAATCACATTCAGTTTATAAAACGCTGATCTGAGGATCTGACCTTCAAAGGGAAGGGAGCAGAAACTGGTGGGGAGTGGGTTGCACGAGGGTTTGCAATAGATTACCACAAAACACTTTTGACTATTTACACTACTGGTATTGTGTATGTTTAAAACTAATACAGAGATTTGAAAAATGGCTGATCTTAACACATGATTATGTTCTTTCTTCATCCGACTCTACAACTGACATGTTGTGACATTTGACATTCAAAACAACCCGCTTGCTCCACGTTGCGTGTCTTTATAAAACTGCTGTGCAGCCATTGTGCAAAGCGGCTTCATCATCATCACGATAAAAAGATTTAAGGACTGACGGTCTGCCTCTTTGCTAAACAGTGTCACAGTTGCACCTCCGGCGACAAATGGCCTATTATCTCAATACCACATACCCCCGCGCATGTGCAGGCAAAAGAAAAGACATCAGGATAAAATGAGTATTTAAAGCATCTGTCTGTTATGTGAGTGCATGAACACATGCTGACACACGTGCAGACAGACAGGGTGACGTGTGCTCTGGCCCAGATATGTACATACACACACATATATACATATGTACACACAGAGACACACACGGACACAACGCAGTGATAATATTGGCTATCAACAGGTCATTCCATACATGCCTGTTGGATAAATGGACAGCCAAGAATAAAATGAGGGACCGTGTGTGAGAGAGCGAAAAGGAGAAAAACATAGAGAGAGATGGGGAGGCGGGGTGAGTTAATTGAGCTGCTCTGAAATGTAATTTGATCCAAGAGGCCTCACAAAATGTCCTGACCAGGACAACATCACACATACAGTAGATGGACAGATGAATGGAAGGGTAGAGAGGAGACAACACAAAACAAAGTAGTAGAGATAGAAGGCAAAAACACAGAAAAACACAGTGTATACAGGATTTGTTTATGAAAATGCAAAGATTAATATCATCGAATTTGGTATTGAAATGAATATTCAAATAAAATACTGTTAATATATTTGCGCTACACAACCACAATGAAAATCTCAAAACCCTACATCCTGCTGACTCACTGCCTATTGCTTCTCTCTAATTATGTCGGCTAAATGCCCAAAATCCAATATTACTAAACTAATGGCTTAAGCACAGCCACCAAAGATATGGAGGGGAGGGGCGGGTTGTTGGGAAGCACAGATGGATGGAGTTAAAGAGACGGACAGCTAAAAGGATGAAGACCACAAAGACATCAGGGAGAAGCAGGAACAGGGGAAAGAGGAGGCAAACAAGACCGGGACAAATTGATGAAGCCCATTTTGGCTGAACTAATGGACTGGATAAAACCATGATAAGAGTAAGAGACACAAAGGGAGAGGAGGAAGAACCGGCTATCTGGAAACACAGCCGAAATAGCTGAAAGAAGAAGGAGTGCAGCTATGTGGCAGAGTGAAAGTAAACAAATAACAAGTGTAATATCCATATTGGCACTCATGTTGGTGCATTAAAAGTCCATTGTGGTTCTGCTTTAGAGTGGCCCATTTGTATTTGATCATGTCTGTTGTTTTTGTGGATACTTGTGAGATGGGCAACAGTCCATTTGGCCTCCTTTGAGACCAACCAGTGTGTGTGCGTGCGTGTGTGTGTCTCACCAGGTTGGACCCTCCAGTCCAGTAGAGGAAGAATCCATCTGGGTCAACTTTCAGGGTTACCAGGGTGGGGGGCCCGCTGTTGGGCTCCTAGACGACAAGAGAAATGGAGATGTTAGTGGGACAAGCACACAACAATAAGAAAAAGTGAGCCCCAATTTTATAACCAGTAGTCAGTGCACATAAAGCTCTTAAAAGGACAACTTGGGTTTCATTTTCAGAGTTTTGGCCGTTAATTCTGTTGGCTATGATAACATTGTTCTATCCAAACTAATTGCTGTTGTCTGGGAACATGGCAGTGTCGTTACAGGGATGTCTGACAGGGCAAAAACATGAGTTTAGCTACATAATCTAACTGAAAGTGAACACACCTAAAATGCCACTATAATCTATAATCTATAATCTATATGCACACAACTGTGAAGTACGGTATGTTACAATTAAACCAGGAAGTTAGTCTGAGATTTGTGTTTAATTTGACTGCTAATGTCTCTTAACCAGTCTGGTAACTTTTTAGCAATGTTCCTACATTCAAGCAATTATCTTGTTAATAGCAGGTAATGGTTGTCACATTACTAATCGACCGTGAGAGAAAAAACAGCATTCAATCTGTAATGACCTGCTGGAATTCAGAATACAGCGTATAACAACAACGGGCAAAGCCTAGTACTCAAGCAAAAGGCACTCCTAAAAAGCACCATGCATCTGACCGATTGTACGCCCCATTGTACCTTCAGTAAACAAAGCTATTGTTCTCTTCACAAACGCTGAACGGAGAAAACTGGCAAGGCATGCTGCTGAATAGATAAGCAAGACCATCTGAGACGTATTTGAGGAAGTACTCAATTCAAGTGATAGTAATAGGGCCAAACTTGTGAAAATAAGACCCAGGTTGTATGAAACCATAATCTAATTTAAGCACCAAATCCCTCAGTATTTCTGAACACTACACACTGGATTCCTGGATGAGTCATGGGCTCTTTTCTGCTTGGCCACCTTGTACACCATTACATTTAAGATGAGACGTAGTCTTCTTGTGATGTGCAGCAGGTTTCTCGAGGAGCCATGTGATCCACTTTGTTCCCGAGCTGTACTTAAGAAAACAACTTAACTTCTGATGTAGATGAGCTGTATTGCAGCAGCTACTCTCTTCACAGAAGTCTCACAGCAATGTATGAGGACCGTGTGATATGAAATAAGCTGTTTATGGCAGCAGTGGCTGTACCTGCTGTTTTATGGTGCCTTGCCATTAAGGGATTGTAGATGGACAGAAAGACAGACAGGGATATTGTGCGTTCGTGCGCACGTGTCGTGCAACAGCTGTTTCAATGCTGGAAACCACACAGTTTGGCCAGCATGATGAGCTCATTCATGTGCAGCATAATGATGGCAAAGGAGCCAGCATCAACATGTCATTAGCATCATCATTATGGAGTCATACGCAAGATACCATGACCGCACACACATACACACACAGAGCTACTGGCTCTGTAATTACAGTAGTAAGCGGTCATACTCTGGCCCAACACACAAACATACCATCCAGACATCCTGGGAAACAACGATGATGATTCAGATTGTTTGTTATTACAGTGACAGATGACTCATGTACACATGTCGTCATGAGCATCAATATCAGCATCATCGTCGCCATCAAATGGGAAGAGAGAGAAAGATCTGCCTGGCAACCCACAGAAAACTTTCCCACTGACATACTATGAGAGGAGTATCAACAGCACGATCAACACAACACGCAACACACAAACAACCAACCACTGACCACATACAAACAGTATTTCTTAATGTGGGGTAGAACAAATAAAATGACATGCTTTTAACAAAGCTCAAATGGTCAATGCTGAACATTTGAATATTCACTCAAGATTGAATGAGTTTAAATTCTGCTTAACAAACATAGCCCTGAAGCAAAGACAAGAGATTGCCCCAGCATTAAATTATCACTTTACATGACTCCATAAAGGACTATTCTACTCGTGTATACTCACAATAATGATGCTTGCCTTAAATGGAGGGATAATCATTGGTAGGTTGTAAAACAGGTACAAAAATCAATTAATAACTGCATCCCTCAATTAAATAAATACATTGTGGAGAGAGAATACAAATTATTCTTTTATAGTGTTTTATAAACTCATAATCCAAACTCGAGGTGATGTGGGAGACAGACGTACACCATATCCAAAAATCTTGATGAAAATGATCAACTACGAAACTGAAATTATATTCAATGTTCATATCTCATTGGAAATATAGGTTTTAAAGAAATAGTTTGATAGGAACACACTGCAGGTTAGCTTAGCTTAGCATAAAGACTGAAACTGAGAGATAGCTAGCCTGGCTTTGTCCCAATCATTGGTCCCAATGTAACAAAATCTGCCTACCAGCACATGTAAAGCTAACTAATTAACACAATATATCTATTTTGTTTAAACCTTTATGTGTAACATAAAGCATATTAATTATTGAGGCTAGCTGTCCCCCCAGTTTCAGTCTTTATGCTATCAGGCTCCATCTATTCCACCACAAGAAAGCAAACAAGTGTATTTCCCTTAATGTTGACCTATTCCTTACAGAAGTCTTCTTAGTTTGAACTTGTGCCCCATTCCTTGAGAAACGTACAATTTAAACTAAACATACCTTGAGTTTAGGCTCCAAGGTCGGCTAACGGAGGAGGAGTTAGCAGGAGAGGGAGATGTTTGGATTGGGATAAGGACAGAAGAAACAGAGAGAGGGTTTGCGAAAGACAAAGATGGATGGGAGTGGGATTAGAAGAAAGGGTGAAGGTTGAAAAAGAAAAAAAAACAAAAGATCAGAAGCAGAAGAAGAGAGGACGGAATCCAACCACATCATGAGACTTTAATAAGCAGCAGTAAATTTAGGTTTTGTAAACTGTGTGCATCCATGAGACTACTTTGATACACAAGACGCTCCACTCACCAACCAGCTGGGATGTTACTGGGATATGTCGCTATGCTTTCATATAAATCCCAGTGATAGAATGACAGCTTAACTTTGAGTTTAACTTCAAATGTGAAGCCGACTCTGCACTATAAATGACTGAACTTGTGACCTGTATTTACTCACTGCAACCAGTGGAAAACCGTACAACTCCAATTTCACACTGTGATTACCATCTTAAAGCTGTGACCTGATGTCAGATGCTCTTTTCAACTGGTGTCACCAGTTTTTTAACTTGCAGCAGTATACCCCGAGCTTGCATATCGGGCAGCCATAACAACTTATGTTTATTCATCTTTTGTCTGCTAGGTTTGATTTTCTAAGACAACAGAAGGTGAATACAATAAAAACGGCAAAGGTCCAGATGTTCCTACAGCCAAAGTGCTGAAAACACAACCAACCTCCATCCTTATTATCAACTGTGCTTTCTACTAATGCATTTACTGCAAATCATTTGCAAATCAAAATGCCAGGCTTGGGCAATGCAGGCAAAAGAGACTATGAATTCCAGGTACTCTTTGCTGTAACTGGTCAACACACAAAAAAAACAGAATATGCATTATGCACACTCCTCTGACAGATTCAACTCTAATCCATTTCAGAAAGGGCTTCACTCTACTTTAAAAGTCAATGACTCTCCAACCTGGCCAGTTTCCATTCAACTACACTGTCTTAAATTTAAAGATGGTGATGACAGCGTGTAAGTGGAACAGTATGAGCAACCTCACGTCACATTTTTACAGCTGTTTCCTCGCTATAGGCAACCTTATAATGACAAAAACCCCTCATCTTTAACAATTTGTTAAACCCACAAGGGTCGAGTCTTTAACTGATTAAACAGTCTCAATTTAATACTGATGCCTCTATATGACCTACATTAACAAACAAGATCATTAGCAAGAAGATTGGTTATTTCTATACAGTTGATTCCTGCCAATCAATGAAACAAGGCGGTGGAAACACCACCACAGGGGCCACCAGAATCAACACAAAGTGAAAGTTCCTTGTAGGGGCTTTGAGTAGAATTGAGTAAATGGTGCCCATTGTGACGACCCACTCCACCTTGTCTTCCTGTTCCTGGTTGTGTGGCTTGTCTTTCTGTGCAGGTACTTTAAGTGGGCGTGGCAGAGGGTCGTCAGCAAACTGGACACACCTGAGGCCTGTGTGCCATG